CACCTTCCAGCAGCACCTATCTTGCTTCTTTGGATAAAATAACAGTAAGTGAGAGAGTACTGAGCAGCCCGGAGGGCTACACATGGGCCCTGCAGTGTCGACCAGGCATCCTAGGATCCACATCTTTGGGCCCCACAACCACCTTCTAGTACTACCAGAAAACAAAACCAGGTGTGTTGTGCATGGAAGTTGCTGGGGCCCCTGATTTAATGTATCCAGCTGTCATCACTCACCTGACACAGTTTTCCTTGTCTGGGGCCACAGGGTTCTTTCTCTCAGACTCATCTACCCCTTCAGAAGTCTCTACTTCTGCTGACATTGCTGCCAAGTTGTTCTTGCTACCCTTCTCTGGTTCTGTAGAGATACAAGGAAATGGGGTTAACATCTTAGCAGTCACCTCCTCAAATGTCTGCCATTCTACTCTCCTCTGAGAAACGTAACCAAAGGACAGCCCTGCAACCCAGGGTTATTTTCTTCACAATAAAACTGGCATTACTGGGACCATATTATATACAGTCTAAATATAGACAGTAGACAAGGTTTAACAGCAGTGTATTGATATTAAACAAATTAAAAAATACATGAAACATTCATGGTAAAGGAGCAATTTACTGCTGTTAGACAAGGTTTAACAGCAGTGCATGGATGTTAAAATAATTAAAAAATTTAAAAAAATACATGAAACATTCGTAAGTAAAGGAGCAATTTACTGTCAGTTCAAAAGGGAATGTCAGGGCTGGTGAGATGGCTCAGTGGTCTAAAGCACCTACTTAGAACAAACTTCGCAAAGCACAGAGACCACGGTTCAATCCCCCAGCACCACATGCCAGCGCTGCCCCCTGGTGGGCTAAGCTGGCCACACACACACACACACACACACACACACACACATAAATTTTTTTTAAAAAGGGAATTGTCAGTGTATACCTATGTGCAGGGGGATAAGGAGAATGGGAGGGATTCACAAGAAAGAAAATAAATGCTGAATCTCAGAAAAAGAAATACAAGCGTTCTTTATGCTAATCTTAACTCCTCAATAAT